GTTTCTCTTTTTTTTTTTTTTTTTTTTTTTAAAGTGTGACTGAAACAAAACAAAGCCAAAGGGACGCTGGATCTATCATTGGTTGATTTTCCTCCTTTTTTTTTTTTTTTCTTTTTTTATGATCAAAAACAACCCCCTACCCGAGCAAACAAACACACACAAAAGCAGAAAGGGTCTTGCTCAGCAGCAGCATGGATGTCTTGGCTAGTTATAGTATATTCCAGGAACTCCAGCTTGTCCACGACACCGGCTACTTCTCAGCTTTGCCATCCTTGGAGGAAAACTGGCAGCAGGTGAATCATTTAAATTACTCCTGTAAATCTCTTAAGCGCAGACAGGCGATGCATTGGGGCTGCGTTTCTGACTTTATTTTATTTTTGTTCTTTAGTTCAGGGTTGGTTTTTTTTTTTGTGGTGGTTTTTTTTATTTCCGCATGGGTAGACCTTTAAATCTCTGTATTTTTTACCATGACAAACTGAGCAGTCCATTCAAATCTGCCTGCCTTCAGTCCTTTCTGAGCACACCCGGCAGCACCTGAGATCCGGTGGCATTCTTTAGGGTTTTGTTTTTATGATGACTACTATTTTTATTTTATTTTTGAGTTTAGATTTTTTTGTTGTTGTTGTTCCTTTGAACAAGGCTGATCACTTCCAGCCAGTGCTGACAACTGGCAGCTGGTGGAAACGGAATAGATCATTCTTATTTTCAGGTAATTAGTGTATGTCAATAAAAATCGTAGTTTAAATCAGAGATGGGGGGTGGGCAGGTGCGTAGAAGCACTAGCAAAAGCTTTTAGGCTAAATTTTGTAACTAGAGAGGTGACATTTTTCATTCTTTTTTTCTTTTCCTTTTTTGTTTTTTTTTTTAGAAGGTGGGGAGAAGCACATACTTCTTGCTGTATCTTAAAACAATGACGCCTTAGGCTGGTTCCAGTAAACCAGCGTGTTTTGAGGCACTGTAGGGTTAATATGCAAACAGAATTAGGGTACTTTTAAAGATGGAAATCAAGTATAATGAATACATTAAAATGATGACTGGTGGCATGAATAAATAAGACCAAGGAGAAGAGTAGGTTACAGAGAAAAGAGTTGTATAAAATGAACTATGAGCCCAAATGCATAGATCTATAAATAGTTATCAGCTGGGATGCTGAGGGAAAAGGAAAGACAGGATTCTTCTTTATGGCAGGACATTGTGAGACAGTCCTGTTTCTTGATGTGATTTTCTGGCAGAGGTGATACGCCAGGCGAAATTCTGGAAACTAGTCTCTCTTTAAAAGAAAAAAAAAATCCACTGGTGTGTAGGAATAGTGGAGTGTGGCTGGGATGACATGTGGTGCTAATGCAGCGCACAGACCCATGGCACTATTGGTGTGAAAATAACGACCCACTGGGTTTCATCTTGCCAGCATTCACCTTAGTCTTGGCTAGCATTAAGGGTAGCGTGTGTTAGGTTTCCAGTAAGTGACAGCTTGGGACATTCATTTAATTTTTCCTTAGAAGTGTGTGTGGGAAGAAATGTGGATGGAAAGGCTTCAGGGAAGCACTCGAGCTGTAGCTTTGTCATCCAGCTGGACCGGGGCTGGATCTTTAAGGGTTTACCCTAATAAAACTGTTTTGGCTTCAGCTTTGTGTGGATATGTGCACACACGTGAGAGGTTTATTGACAACTACAGAACAAACACATTCAGGTTTTAATTTGCAAAATGACCGATCCAACTTTGCTTTATCCTCTTGAGGGGGAGGGGATGTTTTCTGTTATTAATAATCAGCTCGCAGGTCCATGATGGTCACATCTGCTTTCCTTTTATATTTTTAACATGCTAATTAAACTGAAGAGGTTAATATAATTTCATTAAAAAAAATAATTTCATAGCATCGTTGTTGTTGGATCAGTTGCCTATTCAGTTGCATATTAGTAACAGTCCAGACAGTCCAAAGCGAGATAATCTGTTGACATAGCCAGCATGCTTTAGGCAGTACTGTGTGTGATACTCCGTCTCCTGCTGCCGCCTTTTATGCGTGGAAGAGCAGCAGTTTGTTTTATACAGTACAATGTACCTACTCAAGCTCACTGTTACTATTGCGAAATTTAAACTCACACTCTCCTGGTTAAACCCCACTGATTCTCCACATATGTTTGAAAACAGAAGTTAAAAATAATTTATTACATTTTCCCTTATTTCCCCTCAAATTGTCCAGCCACTGCCTGATGTTTCATAAGACATCCTGTATTTACGGTTTGTTTTTATTCCCCTGTTGCTGCCTGGATTCTCCTTGCAAACAACGGGGAGCAAAACTGATGTATCAGTGGTGGAAGCAGCTGAAGCTGGCTGTACAGAGCATGCTGTCACGCAGGCTTGGCAGACCCACTGACACAGAGACCCCGATTTTATTCTTCTGAGTCACTTGCAAATATAGCCAGGTCTTGGGGATTTATTTATTTTAGGCAAACTGTAGCAACTTTGGGACAAGGGATGCGTGTGTGCGTTGTTTCTAAAGGTATACTTTTAGAAAGGTCAGGCTGCAGTCCAAGACCCCAGGAAAGATAGCTGACAGGACAGTGACTGATTCCTGCAGGAATCATCAGGATTGGGAAGCAGCAGCTTTAATTTTGAGTGAGAGCACTTGACTGGTCTTGCCTCTGCTCCCATGAAGAGATCCAGTGCCATACCCAAGCTCCACAGAGCAGGGGTGCTTCTCCCAGCAGCAAAGCGGAGCTCTGGGAGATTACTTCAGTCTCTTAAAAGGGGGGAAATAGTTGTGTGGGTCAAGAGCAGGCTTCCTTACCATGTTGTGAGCTCCATTTGTTTTGTCATTAGCAGCTACTAATGCTTGAGTGGAGAGGTTAGTCTGTGCCAGTTCCTGCTGCTGGCATGGTGTCTACTGTGATACTCCTAAAAGATGCACTTGGAGCGCACCTTGGGGTGAAAGTCTGGACACAAGTCCTGTCTTCCTTTTCTCCTGATTCTGAACCACACTTCTGTAGCTGCTGGCTGAGGACTACGTAGCCTGGGCAGTTGCTCATATTTCCGATTGTGAAACCCTCATCACTCAGGGAGGGCACCGACGGCACAGGCAGGTTGCTAAACACTTGCACGCAGTCAGCTGATCTTCTCTCCCTTTTTTCCTTCCCACTTGCGAGAGAAATGTGAGCGAGTTTGTTAGCTGTGCTTTTGACAATTAACATTGGAGTTGAATGAGAGCTACCCAGCAATATGTAAAAACAAGCAGATTTTGTGTAGGAAGAGATTGTAATCTCTTGTGTAGGTTTCTTTTTTAGGAGGAAAAAATACAAACAAAACCCCCCAACTCCGCCCTGAACATAGTTTACATTGTAAAAGTGGAAGTACCTGAAAGGGGAGCTGGAACTGAATCCATGATGTGTTTCATGTTATTTTAAAACGTGTTGGGAAGGGAGGGCTTGGGCTTTAGGCAGCAAAAGCTTAGCGTCACTGTGTCAGCTTTGGGTGCACTCCTTCAGGCAAAACCACTTTTGAGTTTAGGAAGGTTTTTTCTTGGAGTGGGGAGGTCAGGATCTAATGAGTAATTCATAGCACAACTTCATCAGGAGAAAGAGAACTTTGTTTCGTCTTTGTTTAGCTTTGCCAGCAGCGTTGGGCTGCCATGGCACTGAGGGAGATTAAAGAAGAGGTGGGTTTTGTGGATTGGAAGATTGAGGCATTTGCTGTACTCAGCTGGTTGGTATCACAGCATCTGTATGTTTCTGCCTGGCACTTCCTCCGAGCTGTGATTGAGCCGTCGAGTTGCTCTCTGTCCCTGCGAGCTGACTCTGCAGTTCAGGAGCAGGGTGGGGGCAGATTTCAGCACCTGCGTGGCTGCTGCGGTGCAGTGGGAGGACCTCTGGCCACATGCCGTTGCTCTCGGGGGGTAGCTGTCTGATGTGGCATCCCCGAGATTGGAACCAGACTGCTGGGAGAGACGGCACGAGGCCGAAGAGTGCCTGGTTACTCAGCAGAGGAAGGAAGTGGGTAGGAGGCTGCTTTTGAGGGAGGCGACTGTGAGGAGTGTGGCTCGTGCAGCTGCACGTGGTCCCACTCTCACTCAGTGTGTCAGGCTGCAAAGAGGGGGAGAGCGATGCTGAGAACTGGGAAGCGCTGGACGTGGGGTTTCAGTCTGTTCTTCCTGCTGGGCCTTCTCAATGTCATTTAGGGGGTCATTAAAAGATTAGTGTGCAGAAGGCATCTTTTGTAGTCAGATATGGCTCTTCCTAGGGGTAACGTTTCAAACCACCCCTGTTATCCTTCTCCATAGGCCCCTTGGAGGGCTCGACTCACCATCATTGTGTGGAGGAGTATGATCAGGAGACATTTTGGGGCTCTCTTTGTATTCTATGTGGGCCATAGGGCAGCCTCCGGCATAGCAATTCCCGTAAGGTCAGAGCACAGGAGCACAAAGAGCAGCTAGATGCACAGGGTCACCGTGTGTTTAGCTGATGCAGGTATATAAAATCAGCAGGACTTAGGTGCCAAACCCTGGTTTATTCTAAAAGAGCTGGCCTTTCCCACATGTGTCATCAGACAGAACAGGTCTAATTGGCTGGCAGAAGTGGAAATAGCATTATATCGTTTGCCTGATAACCATTGCCCGATAACATTTCCTTTTGCCTTGGCTGACCCTGTTGCTCTCAGCTGCAGCAAACAATGATCCTTCCAAGAGAGATGCACGTTTCCTGTAAAACATAGGATCAAGGAAGCCTTTGTTTCAGTCTTGACTCTGCCGTAGAGCCTTCTTTGCATATTTTTAATCAAGCCTATAAGCCTCAGTTTCCCCCTTTCTGAAGTGACTGATGACAATGACCCTGAGGCATGGTCTTTGCAGGGCTGGGGGGTTGAGTTTTGACCCATTCTGGCAAAGGGCTTTGAGATCCCTGTGCTGTGTGAGAGCAGAGAATCTCAAGGTGACTAATCTAGCAGAACTCTTACATCTTAATGCTGACTTCTGTTTGGCAGATAGGGTCATTTTCAGGCCTATAGGAAAAATTTCCACTGCCACTGGAAAGGAATAAATCACACTGGAGAACATTCCTACCTCCACATCATCTCCATTGTTCTAGTTTAATGGCATAGTTGGCCACTACATAAACTAAACCATCTCTTTTAATATTGCTATTTCATCTTGGTTCCAGTCACAGTGTAACACATTTCTTAAGTGCTTATAGTACATCATGCCTCTTGAGAATAACTTGCAGAAATGGTTGACTTCCAAGAACAGCCACATGTGTAATGCAGTGTATTTCAGACTGAGCACTGGTCCATTTATACCTGCAGGCT